CAGATGAAACTTCACTTGTGCTGGCAGACATCCTGAACTCATACAAAACTGTTATTTGAATAATAGAACAGGTCAAACAGCACTTCCCTTTGCTAAAACTCCAGAAAAACTAGGCTAGAGAGAAAACAAATCTCCTGGACTGATGCTACTTATAGTCCAGTGGCTAGACCTGTTAACTAGGTCTCTCTAGTAGTCCATACGACTACTACACACTTTCTTGCTTTATCTGGGCATACCAGCAACTATTCTGGGCCTCCTTAGAGATTTTCCAAGGAAAAAACCCTAGAAACGGCTTCAGTTCACCATGACCAGCAGCAGCTCTCTCTCTTGTTGTTCCAACGATTAAAAAAAAGAGCTAAAGAAGAAAGAGGAGGTGAAGAAGAGGGTAGACGAGCAGATTACAACTCTGATACCATATTTGTATTCAGATTATTGATGAAGAGAGGAAGAAAGAAGAAGAAGAAGAAGAAGAAGAGAAATGGAGAATAGGGAGGCTCTCTCTATCCAGCCCATCAAATTGTTATTTATATTAGGGCAATAATAATACATGAGTTGACAATATTACCCCCCATTAGTAAGAGGTAATGTAACTCAAAAATAAAAGAAGGCCCAAGCCCATTTATACTTAATAACAGTACAGAACAATAAAGCCAAACAAGAATCAAGAAATAAATAAAACATAACATAAATGGGCCGAAGCCCATACTGTTAAGACCCACAACATGTTTCATGGACTCTTTTTCTCATCCTTCGCATCCCTTAGTTGACCACTTGACTGCTTATGCTGACGTTAATTGGGTTGGTTGCCTCGACACCAGATGATCAACCACTAGATGGTGTGTTTTCTTAGGTAATTCTCACATTTTTTTGGAAGTGCAAGAAGCAACAAATGGTCTCCAAGTCATCTATTGAAGTTGAATAAAATGCCATGTCATCTATTTGTAGTGAGCTAATCTGGCTTAAGGCTCTTCTCCATAACCTAGTCATTAATCATCCAGCCCCTATTCCTTTATTTGCTGACAACATGAGTGCAATCAAGATCACCTCGAATCCAATCTTCCATTAACGGACTAAACACATAGAGGTGGATAGCCACTTCATCATAAATCTTCTCACTATGGGTCACATCACTCTTCCTCAGGTGTCATCCAATCTTCAGTTGGTCGATCTCTTCACCAAGGCTATGACTTGCACTAGACACAATTTCCTTGTGGACATGGCATCAGTTTGAGGGGGAGTGTAGAGAAGATGGGGGTTAAAATTGTAATTTTACCTTTCTTTTATTTCTCTTTTGTACATTGATGTATTTTAGCATTCTTGTAAGAACAAGATTGTCCGTTTACACAATAATATATATATATAGATATATTTCTTTTTGGGCATGCCAAACAAGTGACACACCCCACCAAATTGTGTCTCTCTAGTTTCCTCTCTGTTTCGACTGGAAATTACAGTATCTACATCACAAAATCCCAGACCCCCTATCATCTTTAGGTTTGACAAGATTACTCCATGCTGTAAAATGCACCTTATATTTCTAGAGTTGCCCCACCAAAATTCCCGACAAATGCCATCCAATTTCCTACAAATCCCTTTAGATAGTAGATAGGATTGCATATGATATGTAGGCACTGATTCAAGGGTAGATTTAATTAAAAATTTAAAATTGACTTGCCCGCTTGGGAAGGAGCTCACTGGCATGAGAATGTCTGAATCACCTCAGATGTCGACTGTCCTACAGGTGCTTGCGATCAAGAGGCTAGTGAATGGTGATCCAATGTTAGCTTTAGAAGTTGGAAACCATGAGGAGGTTGATGCTGTTTCACCTCAGAAAAACATTTGCACTTATATTGAGACCTCAACAAGTGTTTCAAGGGATGTTATCAAAGAAACAAAGATGGGTCAGTTGAGGGGAAAAATGTTCTTGAAGGGAGTGACAATGTTGAAGTGGGGAGAGATTTTGGAGAGGGTGTAGGGGGGAGCTTGGCTGATGCTGCAGGTTGTAAAGACTATCCAGGTCAAGAGGTCAGTTGATGACCACCATGTTTTTGAAGATGTGGTGGTTGGATGGATAGGTGTGGAGTTAGGTCAAAGGAGGAAGATTGATGAGAAGAGTTTGAATGCAAGTATTGTCATGGCCACTAAGAAACCTTACAAATCAAGAAATCTTCAAATTGTTCACATCACAAAAGTCTTTTCTCATCTAAAGCTTGGTCTGGTGGGGGCGGTGCCCACCAAAAATGTTAAAATAGTGTATAGGAGAAAAGGTGTAAAGACATCTACACCAAATACTGATGAGTCTATCGGGGAAGACTCGCAGTTTCACGTCAAATAAGTTTCTCAGGTAGAGAACTTACAGCAAGAAGAAAAAAAAATGAAAAGTACAAAAGGTTATGAATCTGCCAAAGGTGTGTTGAATACAAGATCGGAAAAAAAGGTGGAAAGGTTAAGAAGTTTGCCTGTTGAGAAGTTAAAAAGGTAGTGAGGATTTTGCTAGAAGTTAAAAAGGAGTTTGAGAGGTCAAGGAAAGAAGGCTGAAAAAAGATATTGTTGGGGAAGGTTGTGAGATTTGAAACAAGGACGATGGACAGGAGGGAATGTTCAAGGGGGATGACTAGGAAGTTAGCTTCTGCAAGGTGTTGTTTGGCTTTGGTTCAAATGGAGGCTTGCAGGAGTTTTTGGGTTTGAGGATCATGGGATGTTTCAGTGGTCCTTGGACGAATTTGATGACTTTCTGGTTTGTCGAGTCTTGTTCTGAGTTTGCTACAAGTTTTATTGTTTGTTTATTGTGTCCTTAGTGTCTGCATTTTTAACTCGAGTGATATCTTATCGCCTTCCTTTTGCATTCTTTCCTATTTTTAATGAGTTTACTTTTTACTATAAAAAAAAAAAAAAGATTCATCTTCCAAAATGAAATTCTAGAATGGACAAAATGGGTAGAAATGGGCAAAATGAGAAAATGTCACTATGTACCAAATGCTTTTTTCCAAAAAATGAATTCTTTTTATGGCAAGAATGAGAATAAATTTTGAACCTATTTGGTTAGAAATTTTATTCCAACTCACCAACCAAAATAATACAATATTCAATGGTATATATATATATAGTGAAAGAATACAAGATCCACACCAACAAAACACAAATCAACCATTTGGGACCCACATTAATAACATAAAATATGAAAAATAAAAAAAAAAGAAACTAGAAAAGCTTTTGCATTTGGTTGAATATAGAGAAAATATAAAAGAAAATTTGAAAGAATCAATTAGAACCTATTTAAAATTAATTAAAAGGAAATTATATAAAAACACGCAGGAGGATACCTTAGCAGCGTCTTATAGTTTCTATAATGCTAAGCATTCAAACGAGATGCTTCTTCTACGATACTACTTGCAAAATGTAGTTCATGGTTTTATTTCATGATTAGATTTCTGAAATAGCCACTATTTCTTTCTAAAAAGACAATCAGGTCCCATCTCCCCACTTGGTCTTTTCATTCCTTGAAAAGATAAATAAGGAATTCCCTACCAAAAAATTTTGCTTCTCTAAAACTGAGGCTAGTGCATAGAATAAAAGGAAATTAGAGATCTCATATGACAAGCCAATATCAAGGATTCTCTCTCTAATTTCTACAGTGAAATATAATAAAAAAGAAATTAGTTCAGCCATCTTGTACTTCCAATACAAAGTAAATAGAAACAAGAACCATTTACTCAGATTTTAACTTCTAAATTCCTTGCAGAAACATAACAAAATAATTAGAAAATTGATGTTCCCTTTACAAAACTGCTCAAAATTTCTTGAATTCCTTATTTGTGTAACATACAATGACTAGTGATCAAGTACCCAATCTAGAAAGCATTGAAATAAATTTCATATACCCAAAGAACCATGATTTTGATAACACTAAAGCCCATTTCATGAACTTTTCAAGAAATACAACCAAAAGCAGTGCAATTCCAGCATAGGAAACTAAAAACCCATATCACACAATATCTTAAAAACTGATAAAGAAGGATAACATAAACAAACTACTAACAGAAAAGGCCTGATCCTTCCTTGCCATTGAAGATACTAAGAACAATGTAGGCATAGAGAAGAACCTTAAAGAAATATGTTTGCTACAACTATGACAAGTTCTTGAAATGGCTCCTTTAAGTTTGCCAATTTATAATAGAAAGAGATTATATGTGTATATATCCAATTCAATCCATTTAAAGAAGAAAACAGAGTACAAGATTTTGTTGCTTGTTTTTAAAAGTAAATATTCTATAATCTAAATTTAATATTTTAATTATTGTTCTCGTTGTCATTTCAGTTTGCATCCAAGTCTCTAGTACTCATTTTAGGAAAATTTTTCAATGCATTTTGCACTAATCTAAGTGCTACTCAATCCAAAGAGTGGATTTGAGTGGCCTGTTCTGCTGGCAAAAGGCATGACGCAGAGCTCAAAACACTGCTACCCAATCCAAGCAATACAGTTCTTATTGGGTATTTCATCAAACACTTGCAAAGCATCATTAGTAGTGCCTAATTTGTAATGGAGATAGATATAACGGTTGCCCAGAAAAGTTATTGCTACCCAATCCAATTTTTATCAACCGGGCATGCCTTTTGCCAGTAGAAGATAGAAATGCGAGCTGGCTGTTGCATCTCGTATGATAGTGAATAGCCAAAGAGAGAAAGAAAGAGTGGAGAGGGAAGAGAGCATCTCGTATGATAGTCGAAGGCAGCTTGGGGCACGATTATTTTTCGTGCTGCATTTTTGTGCCATGGACCCATTTTAAATTTTTAATGAGGTTCATGGCAACAATTTTGTACCCAGATGTTCTCATCTTATCCATTGTTGTCCATTTTTACGCAGAATGAATAAGAATAAAAAATGAGACCCGTAGCAGTAAACAAAACATGCCTAAACTTCTCCAAACCAAGAACTGAACTCAACTCAAAAAAAAAAAAAAAGAATGACAAAGTTGATAAACAAATAAAAAAAAACACACCCGGGATTGTCGAATGGCATCATCCGTAGCCGGTGAATCTTCACGGACCCCTTCGGTTTGCCCAACTCCTTCGGTCTTGGCGCCGCCAGAAACAGAGACCTTAACAATGCATGATGATCTTTTGAGAGGAGATTTTCGGCAACAAGTAGAAGACACATGTAGATTTACGAAAGGGGTGATCAGAGTATGATTGAAAGAACCATCGGCAACGAATAGCAGCGGAATAAATGAAAGACCAGGAGCTGATCCAACTGCAGCAGTAAACATCGAAACTATACAGATAAAAGAAAGGATAGAAACAATGAACGGAAGAGAGGACTTAGATGTTCCTCTTCGATCAGATGAAAGAGCGCTGTGACGATAGCATTTGAAAAGGAAGAGAGAATGTTTGATACTTCGATCACCACTGGTCCTCCGTCTAGGCGTGTCCTCTCAACGCCCACACAAATCTGATGCCCTTGTCCATCCCTCCGAGAAAATGGATTTAAAATTTACCACCGGGGATCCGTGCGATGCACGGGAAAATTGGAAAGATTTAATAATTTTATTTACTATTGATTAATACTAAATTAATAATCAAAAAGTGTTGTTAATTAACTTAAAGTATTTAAATTATTGTTAATATCTAAAATTTTAATAATTGTAAAATTCATTTAATGTTGATTTAAAGGAAATACGTATTGTTAATTTAATATGAATAAATTTTTTAATAAATTTAGTTTTATTAATAATTTATAGTAATTTTAATAATTATTATTATTTTTATTATTTTTAAATGAAATTTTGATTAATTTTAAATAAATAAAAATAATTATAAAAGCTAACATTTTTATTAATTTTACTAATAATTAACAATTATATAAGAATGAAAACAGGGTGGGTTTAGGGCGAGGCACCTTATCCCTATCCCTATCCCATAGTCAAGACACACTACACCATTCCCGCCCCATCCCCAGTGTCAAGCGGGTTCATGGCAAGGCAACCACTCTTCAATGTTGGGCGAGCTTAGGGGCAAGGTACCCCACTCCTCATCAAGGATGGGGAGTCCTCGAATTCCCCTGCCTCGTTCCTAATATTGAGTAGGTTCAAGTAGAGGTGTAAATCAGGTTGTGCAGGGCTGGCATGAGACGACCCACATCCGGCCCGCACTTTGTGCAGGTCATTCCGGGTTGGCCCATGGGACGCCCCGGGCCATGCCTCCCTTCCCTGGGATAATTTGGGGGGTCAATTTAGCACGGTCCACGGTCTATGCTGTGTCGTGGGCTGGGCTGGTCCATGGGCCGAGCCTTGGGCCAGGCCAAGCTATGAGAGGTCAATTTAAAAAAAAAATGAAAAATATGTTTAAATTTTTATTTCATATGGTTTTTTATGTATACAATTGTTTATATATACAATTAGCCCTATTCATGGGCCAAGTAGCTCGACAGTCCTGCCTAGCATAACCCCTTATTTTTTAGGCTTGGACAAAATTTTAGGCCTATGGGCTCGAGCTCGGGCTTTCTCAAATAAGCCCAGCCCGTGCTCGTGTGGACTTATGTGCTTAGGCTTTCTCAAGGGTTCACTGCATTTAGTAGTGAGTTCGGCCAAGCTTTTTTTACAAAGGCTGGGTCGGACCCATGTGGACTTATGTGAGGTCATTGTGGTGTCCAACGCCATACAAATCAAGTCTAAGTTGGCCATGCAGCACCCTTGGGTCGTGAGCCTTATAATTGATGGGCCTAAGACCCATAATTAATATGATTAATTAAGCTGTCACATGTTAGCTTAAGTTGCCATGTGACATGGGGCAAATCTGGGTTTGAAATGGGTATGGAGCACATATTCTCTTAAGAGGATAAGGTTTATCTCTTAATAGAGTCCATATCCAAGTTAGATTTGGATAATCTTCTAATTTGATTAGGATAAGTGCTCCATAAACTGATAAAAGAAGAAGAGGGTGAACGAGAATAGAACACCTCTTTATTTTGTTCTCTTCTTCTTTTTGTCTCCTAAGAAACCCTAGTTCGACTACAGCTATTTTGGGACTGATAAAGATCAGTTTCTTCTTATTTTTGCAAGAAAAAATCTAGAGGAATTTCATGCTCACCTCCCTATTTTGATCCAAGCAGTTGGATTGTAGTTTTGTTGAACCGACTTCAGGAATACATTGCGCCATCTTTAGTGGAGGTTGATTTTAAGATTGATTTGGGCATGAAGTTCCACCTTGGGATTTGCATTTATGGTATCTGTATCAGGTATACATCTCCCTCTTTGATTGGTTTCAAATTTGGTYTGGTTTAGTGCAAGAACGATCCTAAAAAAATGTAATTTTTCAAAACATAGGGAATTTGATTCTCGGAAGGATTAGGAAATTTTTGAAAATTTGCCCAGCCATCTAGCATGGTTTGGCCATCCATACGATGGATCCTAACCCTTCCTTCAGTGGTATCAGAGCATTAGATTCAACCCTTGGACTGAACCAAATCATATTTGAACCAAAATTCAAATGGGCAAGAACTAGTCTAGCCGATTTGAGCAATTAGAAGAAAACTCTAAGAAATTGGTTCTCAAAGTGGGCAAATGATCTCAAATTTTGGTGAATATATTCTAATATATTATAGAACTGTTCTATTATGGATTCTTGAAATCTTGGGTTGAAAGTGTGATAAAGATCGAAATCTTGTTGGTGGCAAGTTTTGTGTACATCGAATTCATTATTTTGATTATGTGGTATGTAATTAATTATTTTTCTTTTCTAGAAAGAATGTATTAGGTTTTTCTGATGTAAGTAATAGAAATTAGGGTTTTTATTTTTTTTACATCGAAGAAACCGTTGAATCTTGTGGAGAAGACAGAGCTTGTAGATGGAGATTGATCTGTAGATTGTCGTTTCGTAGGGATGCGATTTTTGTCCGGATTAGATTTGGACCATCACACTATCAGCCCTAGCCCTTCATTTCTGTTTATTTGCATATGATTGTGAATCATAAATGAGAATTTTAAATCATTACCTATGTGAATTGATGCATGTTTTGGACACCAAACCCTAACCGATTTGACCTAGTTTTGGTCCAATCTTGTTGGGTTGAACCTATGGTTCTTTGGGGTTTGATCATAGCCCCTTGGATCACGGTTTAAATGACCCAAAATCAGTTTTAGTCCAGGGGTTTGATGGCCCATTGTATGCACCAATTCGGTCCATACTTGAAAACCCATTTTATGTTAGATTAAAACAAGACTAGCCCATTTCAGCATGAATTTCTATATGGGCCGAACTACTTTTTTGCAGTTTAGCCCACATACCAAGATAAAATTATTAGATAATTTGGTCCACTGATGTAATGATCATGTATTAATCTAAATGGATATGGGTTTTACAAGTTTTAAATTGATTTGGATCAATTGTGTTTGTGTCTATGATGTGTTGAATGAATGCGATTCGTTCATGGACCATAAGTGCTTGGCCCATGTATTGACTTATGTGTCTCTCTGTGAACATCATGGCTGAATGCACATCATTGCCATGATGCCCATAGATCATTGCATCATCTCATTTTTCAATGGTCCCCCTAAATTGCTTCCTCCCTAAGAGAAACCTCGCGGGAACCCTAGCCCATTAAGAGCCCATTTAAATCCAACTTTATAAAAGTCAATGGGAGCCACTATGGTATGACATAAATCTGACCTAGGGACTGGTATACACATTCCCTCCTGATTAATATAAGTGCAAAGAGATAGGGAATATCATATGACGATTTCTCTAAAGGCCTTCCGTCATTAGCATAAAAACATGTTGAATTGATGAGTGGGAGATGCACCATAAAATTGGGTTATCCATTTCACTGAGACAGTCAAGTGGGTTGCTTCATGAGATGATAGGGGCATCATAGACTAGTGGGAGGGGCCTATCCTTAAATGGAAGACTCTTCGATAGTACCTTGGGGCTCACAATATGACGGGTCTACACTTACCAAACAAAAAGGTTTAACCTAAAATGACAATTAWCCTTGTCTAATGGAGGCCAAAGGGAAAGCTCATTGGATGAGTAGATATGTAATCTTTCATAGAAAGTGGTGGGGTTATGCAGTTGAAATAGTTGGCCCCATGCATCTATGTGATTTCCCACATTTTCGAGTACATGAACTTTGTCATCGTCACTGAGATAGGAGGGAAATCTCAGAGGAACAAATGGAGATGGAACATAGATAAAAGTCTATTCTATGAAAAATAACATGAAACAATATTAAGGTCATGGACTAATTAATTATGCATTTTATCAGAAATGGCACATGAACAATTCGCTAAATTGTTAGACAACAACAAACTGAAAGGACCCAACTGAAAGAATGAAATGATCCATGTAATGGACGCCATAAAGGTTGCGAAATGGGTGGACGAATTTCAAAAATTTTCCTACCTTCTTCCAACTCGGAATCATATTACCTAACTTAAGAATACAATATTCAATGATCCTACTTGAACCATAATCGAACCAGATCTGAACCAAAAGGGAATGGTGGAATTATACCTGATCCAGAGAAGCAATATCTCCCAAAGTTGGTGTTCACGCCCAAAAAGGACACCAAGATCCGCTTCTGTTGAAGATGACATAGCTGTATGTGGAACGGAACCAGCAGAGTGCGTCCTACACATTGGATCCTTCGCAAGAATCCTCTGGAAACTCTGAGCACCAAATCTTTTTCAGTCTTTTCTACAAAGCTGATGTCAAGAAACAGTTTCTTGATTTCTTTCTTCTTCAAAGATTGAATCTTGTAAGAAAGGATGGCGGCGGCGGGAGGAGAACTCCTGGGACGAAGATGGCTGAATAGCTTCTCTTCTCTCTAAAGCCTGTATGACATCCAATCTCAATTCATAGGATGCTTTCTTGCTTTTTCAAAAACCCCTTGTTCGAAATCTGATATTAATCTCTTTTAGAGTTTCTCCACTTTTCTTCTTGATTAAGAAACCTCCTAATTAGGAGTTATCCCAATCCAAATCAGTATTTGGATAGGGGATGATCTTAATCTTATCTTCAGATTAAGTTAGCCTACTCCTGATCTTATCAGGAGGTTACCAGATTCAAATCTGATTTGAGTTTGGTCTCCCAGAGTGGATAAGGTCAAAGGCCCAATCCTTTTGCTAACTTTAATTTCAGATTCGCCCTATAGATGGGTGATCATATCATCCCAGTTCGAAATGGGCTTTTGGCCCATTAAGTGTATAGTGCTTAACTAGTTTCCAATCTGCTTCCCCAGTTGGGCTTCTTTGTATGGCGTGGGACTCAAGCATTGATTTATACACCAGCCACATGGGTTCGGCCCAGCCTTTATTACAAACCCCAACTGAATTCACTAAAAAACACAGTAAACCCTTAGCCCATCACATGGACCCCATGGGCCCAACACTTATATTAAGTGGTTCTTGGGCCAATCCATCTTATAAAATCCTAGGGACTGTGGACAGGTGC